CAGTTATAATCCCGATTCCGCCCCCTGTTCGAGGCTCTCAGAGCGAGCTCCCTCCCGGAGAGGTTGTTTTCCCTTCGCTCCCTGAATTGCTGTTCCTCAATAAACCCTTCTGGAAATAAAGCCGCCTGTGAGCCGTCCCGCCTTCATAGAGGAAGATTTCATTACGCTATCCGGCTTTCGAGGACTCGGCTCTCTGACAAGCAGAGTGGTCAGAGACCCAGAAGCCCTCATAAAGACACTGCCTGCATATGATGAGATATTTGTAAACACACTGCAAAAAACCTACATACTTCCAGAATGTGGCTACAGAAACCTGCTTATTTGAAAATAAATGGAAATGTTAAAAATTGGGTAAGGTTTTTTTCAAAAGAAGGGCTCTACTGCCATTTCCAAAGAAATGAACTAACACTGTAAAAAAATTTAAATGTATAGGATCATGACTTTTTAAAAAGGTGTCTTAATGGCTGCATTGCAAATGGGAATGATAACAGAGTTGTAAGAGTTGTAACAAAGCAGAAAATTAAGTATGGTCCACTGCCAGACACACAGACATTGACAGATACATAGAAATACTCTTATTAAGCAGTACAAACAGTGTCTTTATAATTTAACAGATCCTCTTTCTTATTATTAAATAAAGCTATGGGACTTTATTTCAACCCAGATAAGCTAACCCCAGATTGTTGGAGATCATACAGCTACAGAAGCTGAGCTGGGTAGCACTGCAGACCTTTTGGCCCTAGTACAGTGAAACCCAAGGGAGAGATAAACTCAAAGCAAGAACAGAAGTGAAGACATCATGTCTGGTCACTCTGACCCTCTGACACTGACCGCTCTGGTGAGGGGAGATGCAAAAGAGACGTTATGGCAAAAGAGATAACAAAGGACATTTCTAGCGTAAGAAGAATAATCAGAAGATTGTGTTTCTAAAGGGGACTGGGACAAAGGGGTCGAAGTGGAAAATTTTGTACGAATGTAGCGACCTATAAATACTGGTAAACTGTGTAATAAATGGCTTTGCTTTGCTGGCATAAGCAGAGTCCGTGTCAATCAATCCTCACACCAGATCTACATGATGCCAATGGGAACTGTGCCAAGCTTATGTTACTTATTGGGGTCTTAGGTAAGTATGGGTTTGTAAATCACTAGAGGAAAAGGAAGCAGGGTTTCTCTCCTACTCAGACTCACCACTGAAGCTGCAGGACCTTTGCACCACCTTCTTCCTTCTCCTTTCCAAGGCTGAAATAATGAGAGTGCAAACTGGGACATTGTTTTTCTCCCAACAGACAACCCAGCAAAATTCTGTGCTTTGTTCTTCATTTCATTTGAATGGGTTTGTGAGCAGGTGGATATAGGATTCTGTGATCATAGAAATGGTGGTAGCACTGAATTGCTAAAAAAAGGATAAGCTGGTGACACCATGTAAAGGTAGAAACACATTGATTAAATCCTATAGCAATTGCCAAGAGGGAAAATATCTCTTCTCCCAGGTCAGGAGGCATACTCTGAGAGCTTCCAGTTGCTTCCTGTAAAACCTTCTGGTTACAGGGCTGAACTCTGCTGAGAGTTTCATTTCAATACATGTTTTAACTAAACTCTGGACATGTTTTTTCTTCAAATCATTCAGAATATCATAATCCATAAGCAACTATTAATTTTGAAGTTTACATTCTTTTGAGTTTTAAAGCCTTGGTAGATCCATATGTTACTACTCCAGGGGTAATAAGGGTAATTATTTCCTCTGTAAATATTATACTAGATTGAAAAAAAGCTACTGATGGTTCATAATACTGAAACATAACCAACAAATTTATCCACTGTTTGGAAATTGATAAAGACAATGTTTCACATTCAGTCACATTTACATGCAAGATTTAGTGATTTTATGCCTTAATCAATAAAATTGTATTACAAATTACTGTCTTTTATATGAAACACCAGATTCATGCTTCTTGCAGTAAAATAATAATCCCCAATGTTACTCCTTTAATAACTACATAGCCTCATTCACTTGAAATCAATTTCAGAAGTTATTTAAAAACACTAAGGATTATCTGGCCTTTCACAAATCCCTTCACTACTTCCTCAGCCTTCACTACACCAAAAATACTAAAGACTTAAGATGGAAAGCTGGGATCTCTGACATTCCATTGTTGGCATCAATTGTTAAAAAAGGCACCAGCTGTATGTGAATCAAGAATCAGCAAATACTGTTTCACTGGGCTGGCTGAGGTTAGTGGGCCACTACGAGCCTGCAGTTCTCCAGGCTAGGGCACAGCAGCTGACAATGCCTGACAGAACAGGACCTGTGGGTGCTGGTCAACAGTGGCTGAACATGAGCCAGGTGTAC